CACTCACATTATCACAAAAAACAAGAGTGGATCGACTGAGTGGTTGCTGGAGCTCGAGGAGAAGATTACGTATCCAGCTGACTTCGGCTACGGCGTTGGCTACTGCTCGATATTCTGCCTCGGCACTGGATCTGGACGTGGTGAGCTGGCGCTTAGAAGACCAGGAAATGAGATTATCGCCAAGGAATATGCAGTAGCCGGAAGTGGACCGGCGGGTGTCAGGGCAGCCGGCCCAATCGGCATCAGAATAGGCCCGCATCTGGTCTGTGTGAGATCTGGAGATGGAGATGCCATGTGATGGTGTGCCATGAAGGTATCGCAAAACCCGCTTCATGGCCGTGACATGGGGCGTGCGTGGATCATGTAGGAAGAGACAGAGCTGCTGCACGGCATAAGTGATGTCAGGATGAGTGAAGGTGAGGTACTGTAGGGCTCCCACAATGGAGCGGTAAAGAGAGGGATCTGGCGCAGGTGTTCCTCCTGAAGCTGATAGTTTCCCGCGTGTATCAACCGGAGTGGAAACCGGTTTACAGTTGAGCATGCCCGCTCGATCAAGAATATCATAGAGAAACTGAGTCTGTGTCAGGAACAAGCCACGGGAGGTGCGCTGAACATTGATCCCGAGAAAGAAATGTAGGTCCCCCATATCTGTCATAGCAAACTCACCCTTCAACCGCTGTATGACCCGCTGTAGAAGATCCTGCGAGGAAGCCGTGAGAATGATGTCATCAACATATAGAAGTAGGAAAGCCATCTGAGACCTCTGGCCATAAGTGAACAGTGAGGTGTCGCTCTTGCACCCGCGGAAGCCAATCGTGAGAAGAAAGCCAGTAAAACGCTGATACCAAGACCGCGGTGCTTGTTTCAGTCCATAGAGCGCCTTGTTCAGTTTGCACACATAGTGGGGTCGGGCAGGATCCTGAAATCTAGATGGTTGGGCCGTGTATACCGTCTCTGTGAGAGTGCCATGAAGAAAGGCATTCTTGACATCAAGCTGGTGAATTGGCCATCCTCGTGATACGGCTAAACTGAGAATGATCCGAATAGTTGCCGGTTTGACCACCGGGCTGAATGTCTCATCATAATCTATGCCATGACGCTGATTGAATCCTCGAACAACCCATCTGGCTTTGTACCTGGACAGTTCACCTGTAGGGCTAAGTTTGTGTCTAAAAAGCCATTTACCGGAGATAATATTTTGGTTAGGGGAGGGAGGTACTAAATCCCATGTATTATTAGCAATCAAAGCATTATATTCATCTAACATAGCATTGTACCAATTTTGATCTTTAAGTGCACTACGGTAGGTGGGGGGAATGGGAGAGATGCTAGCAACGGTGTTTAGGTTTAGGACTCGTTTAGGGCAAAAGATCCC